TATGGTCACGATTCGCTGGGACAAGATGTAAGCCCACCAGTCAAATTTAATAATTGGGCCGGATGTACGTACACCCGGGTGTACGATATAGGGGCTCGTGCTGCGTATGTATGATGATAAGCTAAGCTAAGTGAGTTCGCTGCCACATGTCAAATACTTTTCTATAAAGTGATAATTTTTTCATTGTTTTTACTTTTTATCAAAATATATCAAATTAAAATTTGACATGTGTCAAATAATTCGTTTTTTTATAAAATGTTTTAACTTATCCAATTTTGCTCCTATTTTTATAAAATTAAAATTAAATAGTTTTGTATGATCATTTTTCTGACACCAATATCATATATGTAAAAATTAAAAAACAAAAACATTTTGTCAGGTCTGGTGAATGAATGATAAATGTATCTACGTAGTATTATTTAAATCTAGTCTAGTTAGGTCTGATCTGATTTGTTTGAATATGTCTGGATCAAAATCAGTTCAATTAAAAACATTCTCAATATCATTCACATCCTAAATCTCTAGTCATGTAACATATATGTCTGTAATGCCGAATCACCATTGTGTCGATGGAGTTTTAAAAGATAATTAATTTACTAGAATTAAAAATGTTACATATTCAAAAATATATTTCAATATAGAACTATAAATGAAGATAAATTTGGTCGATCTAGGATCGAAAACATCTCAATTAAAAACATTCTAGATATTGTCATCTCGTAGTTAGACAATATTATTCAATATAAAGATGAATGAAAATATATACTGTGTGTGTATGTATATGGAAGAGTTCAGATAAAAAGTGGTCTTCCCGCGCAAAGTACACAGTTTCACTTTTGCATATTTCGCTTGCACCTTTGCTTGTTGCCGCTGCACTTTTGCACAATTGTGAATTTTGTCAAAACCGGCCAAAATGACGGCGGCAATTTTGAAAATAACTCGGTTTTTTTCGCTATAGCAAAAAAGTGCAACAAGAACAAGAAAACGTGCAAGCAAAACATGCAAAAGTGAAAACTTTGTACTTTACATGGGAAGGCTTTTTTTTTGTAAAAAAAGAAGAAGAAGAAGAAGAAGAAGAAGAAGAACTTGGATACAGAGAGTGGGGCAGATGAATCGCTCAAAAGTCTGGAAGTCAAGAGCACTATTTTTTAGATAATTTTAAGATTCATTCTCCATTGTATAAGATTGTAAAAAAAATTATAAGAAAATAGATTTGACTTTACTGTGGAGTGCACTATTTTGCACTGTTTAAACATTGTTTGACACTGTTTGGTACTGTTTTGCACTGTTCAGATTGTTTTGATATAGATAATTTTACAAATAAGGAATGTGAGAACTTAATTGAGGGACGGAGGGAGTAGTTGTTTAATGGTGGGTAAAAAGTGTAATCCTGATTATATTAGCAATTTGAGTATGTATCAAAGATAGTTGCATTACTTATTAGGATTTTTAGGATTTTTTGAAAAGAATTTTAGGAAAATATATAATATTCTTATTTTATTTTAAAGAAGGAATACAAGGAGGGCTTTTAAAAAATCAATAAAAGGGACGATAAAAAAAAATCAATAAAAGGGAGATACACTTCTAATGTCCTGCTCCGTTTATGTTAGTGACAGAAAAGTGGATGGTGCTCATTTGTAGTGGCGTGATCACTAAGGACATTCTTGTCCACTTTTGAAACAAAATCGGTGCGCCGAGTAATATCAGTGGTGCGCGGAGAAGGCTCGATACGCATAAAATGCTGGTAAATTTGATTTATTAACGGGTGTTGGCAGCATTAGGGAGGGATTGGAGTACATTTACGGATAAGAACCAGATCAGACATCCTAAGCTAAATTAACATTATCTGCACAGCTCGGCCGCTCCAATGTCCATCGTAGGAAACCTATCGTCCTGACTCCCCTCGTCTCTGCAAACTCCGTCCCTTCTCCCTCCCGTCTATTCGCCCACACATAGCTTCTCCCTTTGCTCCATCGTCCAAACGACCTCATCAAACGACTCCGCCAGTCCAATTGTTCGACCAATACATATCCTTTCGTTTCTTCATCGTTTGTGAATGGACTCTGTAGAAAAGAGAGTATTTGGGAAATATTTTCTGTATTTCTTGAAGATTACAAACGCATATGCGTCAATATATGCTACTCGGTAATGCCGAGTACTTAGCGATCTACGTACTAGCTATGCGAGGCTTTAGGAAAGAAAATCACAAAATGATAAATGCTATCTACTTTCCTAGTCTAATACAAAGACAAAGTACGTACATAAAAATGTTACATAAAAATATATGTACATGAAAATGAATAAATTAATAATGTAGGCTAACACCCCCCTCAAGATGGAGCATGGGGGTCGCAAATGCCCATCTTGCCGAGTAAATATGAAAACTGTTGAGCACCAAGGGCTTTAGTGAGTAGGTCCGCTGGTTGCTCGGTGGTAGGTGTGTAGCCTGGAGTAATGGTACCAGCTTGTATGTGATCACGAATAAAATGACAATCAAGCTCGATGTGTTTGGTCCGTTCATGATAGACCGGATTGGATGCAATATGCAGTGCAGCTTGATTGTCACAATAGAGACGAGCCGGACCGGGGTGGGTCACCCCCAAGGAACCAAGAAGATTTCGGAGCCAAATAAGTTCACAAATTAAAGAAGCCATGGACCGGTATTCGGCTTCTGCAGAAGATCGTGAGACAGTGGCCTGCTTCTTGGTACGCCATGAAATTGGAGAACACCCAAGAGATACAAAATACCCAGTAACCGAGCGTCGTGTATTGGGACAACTTGCCCAGTCAGCATCACAGTAACCAGTGAGTGATAAAGGGGAGTCGGAGCGCAACAATATACCTTGGCCTGGCCGTCCTTTAATATACCGAAGCACACGAAGCATTGCCTCCCAATGAGCCAGCCGAGGATTTTGCATAAATTGTGAAAGAATATGTACTGAATAGCTAATGTCAGGTCTGGTTAAGGTCAGATAAATAAGTTTGCCAACCAGCCTGCGATAGCGTTCAGGATCAGAAAAATAAGGACCAGCATCAGACTGTAAATGATGATTTTGTACCATAGGGAATGCAACTGGCTTGCATCCAGACATCCCGGTTTCTGCCAAAATATCAAGGACGTACTTTCGTTGACATAAAAAAATTCCGGTGGGGTTTCTTGCAACTTCAATCCCAAGAAAATATTTCATAACACCCAGATCCTTGACAGGAAACGTAGCAGCCAAATAAGATTTAAATGCAGCTATCATGGTACGACTGTTACCTGTGATTAGCAGGTCATCCACATAAATGAGCACACAAATAATTTGACTATCTTTGCGCATGGTGAACAAAGAGTAATCCGCATGTGATTGTGTAAACCCATAATCGCGCAAGGACGTAGTTAATTTAGAGAACCAGCATCTTGGTGCCTGGCGCAGTCCATACAGAGAACGGAGTAAGTGACACACCTTTCCAGGAGATGAAGCAGAGTATCCTTGGGGAAGATGCATATAGACCTCTTCGTGAAGATCTCCATGGAGAAAGGCGTTGTCTACGTCTATATGATGCAGCTCCCAGTGGCAGGAGGCAGCTACCGCCAGAATGGTACGCACCGTTACCATTTTAGCAACCGGAGCAAAAGTGTCACTGTAATCGATCCCCTGGACTTGGCGATTTCCACACACAACAAGCCGAGCCTTGTAACGCTCCACCGATCCGTCACTTTTGTATTTTATTTTGAACACCCATTTACAATAAATGGCTCTCTTTCCGGGTGGCAGGTCACGAATCTCCCAAGTCCCAGCACGCTCAAGAGCTTGTATTTCTCGGATCATAGCTTCCCTCCAACGTGGGTCTCGCACAGCCTCTGTATAACTAGCTGGTTCCTTAGTCATGCTAATAGCTGCAAGAAAAGCTCGGTGCAGAACCGAAAAATGATCATATTTTATATAATGAGATAGTGAATAAGGAGTACCTGATTCGGCCGTAGGAGTAGGCTTGACGACGGGGTGAGAGTTTATTCTAATCGTGTGCATTTGAACATCATAATCCGTATGCCATGCCGGAGCTTTTCGCGGACGAGTACTCCTGCGGTGCTGCCCTGTAGAGTCAACGCTTACGTGAGTATCCGTGTGATTAGCATCCATCTCGGCATCCACACCAGTCAAAGGTGTTTGAGAGTCAGTTCCCTGATGAAGAAACACGTCGGACGCCCCACTGCCTACCCTTGCGTCACTATCACAAGCTCCAGTTCCTTCACACATGCTCCGTGTTTCAATTTCTTCATTTCCAGGTACGTGGGGTTCCCATGCAGGAATGATCTCTATGTCATCCTCCTTTTCAGCAGATTCTTTAATCCGGAAGGGAAATTCGTGCTCGATGAATTTCACATCCCGAGAAATAAAGTGACGTTTATTTTGTAGATCATAAACTTTCCAACCTTTTTGGGAATAGGCGTATCCTAAAAACACACACTTTATTCCTCTAGGGGCGAATTTATCACCATCGTTTTTCGAGACATGGGCATAGCAAAGACAACCAAAAACCCGTAGTTGACTATACAACGGCATTTTGTTGTATAGCAACTCATAAGGACTTTTATTATCCAACATAGGAGTAGGCAACCTATTGATCAAATATCCCGCAGTTAACACGCACTCCCCCCAAAAAGTAATAGGCAAGTCAGCATGAAAACGCAAGGTCCTAGCCATTTCCAAAATATGCCTATGCTTCCGTTCTACTCTTCCATTCTGTTGAGGGGTATACACACAAGATGTTTGAAATATTACCCCATTATTCAAAAAATATTCTTGGAGGCCCACAAATTCTTTGCCATTGTCACTTCTTACTACCTTCACGTTTCTGTTAAATTGTCTATTCACCATGGCAAAAAATTGTTTAAGAATAGTTTTAACTTCACCCTTTTCTTTCATCAGATGTACCCACACGGCTCTAGAAAAATCATCTACCACAGTCAAGAAATAATGAGCACCACAAGATGACATAACACGCTACGGACCCCAAATATCACAATGTATCAATTCAAATGGTTCAACAGCTCTAGAATTACTAATAACAAAACTATCGCGTGTCTGTTTGCCTCTCATACAAGCATCACACGTTTTATTTTGAACAGAATGCAACAAAGCTTTATTCAAGTAACCAAGTGAACGCAAAACTTGTATCGATGGATGTCCCAACCTTGAATGCCACAAAGTTCCTGAATCTGAACCTCCCACTGCAAGTGCTTGTGCTTGCTCCAGACCCCGGAAATAATAAACTCCACCTCGCCGTTCACCCACTCCAATCGGCATCCTCGTAAGTAGGTCCTGTATTACACATAAATCATTAGTAAAAAATATGTCACATTTTCGATTATCAATTAATTGCCCCAAAGAAATTAAATTGCATTTTAATCCCGGAACCAATAAGACATTAATCAATTTCATGCTTCTACTGATCTCGACGCTTCCCATATGTGTTCCCTTAGTAATATCACCGTTCGGCAAGGTCACCATCACCGACGGTATTCTCATAATCTCCGTAAGAATGCTGGTATCTCCAGTCATGTGATACGAGGCACCTGAATCGAGAAGCCATTCATTAGTAATCTGTGTACCTGAGAGCTTTTCTTCCGAACTTGATGCCTTGCAGTTCTCCATCAACTTGATAAACATCTCCCATTGTTCATCAGTGAAGCTGGGTTTATGCAGAGCAGTAATCTCTTTTCCTCCTTGCTGCGGGTAATTCTCCGGGTGATGTCCTCCAACGTGCATGGCTTGCGCACCACCACGACCTGCTCCCCGTCCTGTACCTCCGCGTCCGGTTCTGCCACGGCTTGGTGCAGCACGGCCCCTGTCTCCGCGGCTAGTTCCAGAGCGCCCTGGGTTGTCTTGCCACCAATCCGGGTAAACTCTAGTACGACGGAAACAATTTTCAATCTCGTGACCCGACTTGTGGCAGTATGTACACTTTACTCGTTCTTCTTTTCCGGCGGTAGCTCCGGAACGTGCAACAAATGCAACTGCCTCGGTTTTTCCTTCCTTTCCTCGTGTCAAATTCTGATGCCGCTCTTCTTGTACCACCAATTGGTACACTTTAGTCAGTGAAGGCAAGTCGTCATCCGTCCCCAATATGTTGGAACGTAAAGTTCCATATGTCTCTCGATCAAGCCCCATTAAAAAATCATGAATTTTTTCAGATTCTACGTGTTTAAGAAACCGCTTCTTGAGGTCACATGTGCACCCATTGCATTTGCATTGGGGAAAATTTCGCACTCCATCATACTCTTCCCATAAAGATCTCAGTTGCCCGAAGTATGAAGTAATCGTTTGACCATGTTGCTTACAATCTCGGATAAGTTCTTTGAGTTCATGTGTTCTCATGGCATCTGCTACTGAGAACCGTCCCTCTAGATCAATCCAGAGATCATGTACACTCTCCATGTAGGCGAGATTAGTTCTCAAGGCCGGATCCACAGAGGTCATAATCCAACCAACCGTCATAGAGTTGACAGTTAGCCAGTCTTCAAGATCCTTTGGTGCAGTCAGAGGTCGCTCAATGGTTCCGTCAAGAAAACCCATCTTCCGTTTGGCACGGAATGCGTTTTTCATTGCCGTACTCCACTCCCGATAATTATTCTCTCCTTTGAGAGAGACGGCACATATCATCATGCCCGGGTGATCCGAGCTTGACAGAAAATAAGGTGATGAGGGATCGTTAATTTTCCTTCGTTCCAAGTGTTCTCGGTGGCCATCTCCACCGCCTTGGTTCGATTCTCCGGCCATATCGGCTTCACACGAGCGTAATCGGTCGATCCCGATTAACCTGCTCTGATACCATGTAGAAAAGAGAGTATTTGGGAAATATTTTCTGTATTTCTTGAAGATTACAAACACATATGCGTCAATATATGCTACTCGGTAATGCCGAGTACTTAGCGATCTACGTACTAGCTATGCGAGGCTTTAGGAAAGAAAATCACAAAATGATAAATGCTATCTACTTTCCTAGTCTAATACAAAGACAAAGTACGTACATAAAAATGTTACATAAAAATATATGTACATGAAAATGAATAAATTAATAATGTAGGCTAACAGACTCAAACAACGGCGGCACCCGTAATCCGACCACGGGAACGCAGATGGGTATATATATAATATCTTCGTCCATAGTTTAATTAGTGAATTTGTATCTGTCGAGTCGTGTAAGTTGATTGATAACATTTTTTATATGATTTATGATATGATTTACAAATTTGTTTAGTCTCAGGTGATTTGGTTACATGTTCCAGATTCATGATATGATTTTCAAATTTGACCAAATCGGTTTGAGTGGTTTCCGGATACAAATTTTAGAAAGGGTTTTCACAGTTTGTAAATCTATTCATTTAATCCATTACACGGCTGTTTAAGTATTTGAGTTGTGTAGAATGATTGATGGATATTCATTATATTTGCTGCTAATTGTGATTGGTAAATTAATATTCCCGAAAGGTGACATAAACAAGCTGCAATCTCTGAAAAAAATGAAAAAAAAAGATATTTGCAGCACGTAAGAGTCATGTACACTTACTGATTGCTTAATAGCCTTGTTACTGTGTTTTGACACCTAAAATGTCAAAGGGTTGTTACACAAAGTTGGTAGTAGCCAATGTCACATTGAAGCCACTTGTGTTGCTGCCTATTGTTATTAATAAATATCAGTGTTGTCAATCCCAGATAGCGGAGCGGAGCGGGCAGATAGCGGGATGACCGCTATTTGGAGTACTTTCAAATATAATAATAATATATAGACCCGTACCCATTAAAAATAACCGGGTCCGGGTCGGATCCGGGTCTAGACCCGACCCATTGACAGGGCCTACATTCACGGGAGACCAGCGGGATGTGGGACCCAAGATAAAATAAAACATTTATTATTTAAATGATTATAACTTTTTTATTTACACTTCAAATTTTATAAAAAAAATATATCAAAAATCATAACTTTTTATGATCTTTCAAATGATATCAATATTGCATATATAAAGTTTATAAAAAATGAAGTTTCACCGGTTGCACAGCTGCTGGAGAGTTTTTTTATCTAAATTTTTTCAAAATAGATTGAAATTAAAATCTCATTGTTCAATCTTAATCTATTAACAATATTAGGATTTGTTCCTCTCTTTTTGTATTGTACTCAATATTATGTGTGTTTCTAATATTTGATTGTTAGTATTTCAATTTAATAACATGTGTTTCAACAAAAGCGTAGTATTAAAAATGAAAAATAAATAATATAGCAATATAGAAAATAATGTAACATTTTTCATTTATAGACATTCATTGCAAATTGAAATCAAATGTACATTTTTAATACTACGAAAAAATTAATTCACGTTTTTTATTTTTTTACATTGGAATGTTTGACTTTTTAAATCATAATTATTGGTAAAAATAAAATTGTCACACAAATGATATGTAATAAAAAGTAAGAATTTATGCATTTGATTAAAGACAAAATGTGTTGAGTGAATATATTGACAGAGTTGGGTTGCACGAAAAAAATGAATTGACTTAGTGAATACGTGTCAACTGATTGGGAATTAGATTTATTGAGACACTGGTTAGCTTAGTTGTAGGCAGGGATGGATTTAGGGGGGGGGGGGGGGGGGGGGGGCGACCGCCCCCCTTGGACTTTCAAAATTTTCTACCATATATGTAATATTTTTATAAAAGTTTCATAATTTAATTAGATTCGCCCCCCTTAGCTTTTAATTTTCAAAATTAATATATAAGTGTTACATAATGTAATACTTAATTGAAGATTTAAAAGAAGGAACATCTAAAATAATTTACATAACTTAAACAAATAAACAATAGAATAACTCGTTGTTTAAGATTTAGGATACTTATTATATAAGAATTCCTAGTTTTGTAATGTTTAATTATCTTTATTAGATAACAAGTACTCGATTTTGTAAAATATATATCAAACAATATTAAATATCAGACACACTAATTACACAGTTTTTGGATCACATGAAATGAATCCAAAATATAAATGTTTATTGACATTGAATTACATAATTCATTTACTTCTTGCTTTCTAAAAATAATTTATTGCATAGATAATAAACATTAAATTATTATAGCATTAATACAAATATTAAAATATAATACGCACCATATATATGTGTGTGTATGTGATGCATATTATTCTAAAAATAATAATATTAAGAAAATTTCTAATGAGTCATGAATCACGAACACCCTCCTTTGTGGCCAGACAAAAATTACAATTCAATAATAACTGATTCATGAGGTTTAACAATGTAGAAGTTATTAAAAATGTATTGGTTGATGTCTTTGTCATCGTCTAATTTGAACTTAGAATGTATTACGTAATAGATTTAAATGTCGTTGGGGATGTGTATGTATTAATGTCATTTTTTGAATAAAAATAGCCGCATAGCCCTACAGTAGCGGAAAAAAATTCGCTCCGCTACACTAGGGAAAAAAATTTCGCCCCACTACACTAACGAAATTTTTTTCGCCCCCTACACTAACGAAAAATTTCGCCCCCCTTGAATCGAAATCCTGGATCCGTCCCTGGTTGTAGGAGCTATACTAGGTGTACACATTTTTGTGTGCACTTTTTGTACATTCATCTGTCTCTACATACAATTCTACAGAGTTATTTGTGGACAGACAACTCTATGTGCGTGAGACAGACGAATGTACAAAAGGTGTACACCGAAATGTGAAACATTTTTCTAGCTGTAGAGCATTCGATCGTAGGTTGGGGCTATTTGGGTCGACTCACCTTCAGGCATGATGGCGTGCAAGCCGACAATGGAATCATGGATCGCATGTGAAGATAACTATGTTGACCATATTATAGATTTATAGGAGCACGTTTGCTAAAATGATAGGCAGTATAAAGTGAATTATTTGAAAGAAAGAAAAATTATACTCCTCCGTCCCAATTTGTTTTGCAAAGTCAACATTTTTTAGTCAATCAATGATAAAAGTCAATCCTCCTTATTGATAATTAATTTAATTTTAATAATTAAAATTTATATATTCATAAACTACATTAAAATCTCTTCAAAGTTGTAAACTCCAAATTAGAATATAAATAAAAATTGGCATCCTAATCAAGCGAACAAAACCAAATAGTTTGACCAAGAAAAGTCAAATTTGCAACTCAATTTGGGACGGAGGTAGTATGAAAAATAGTTAAAATGATCTTCTATTACTCGAAAATTCGAAATAGTAACTTTAGTCAATACAGTCAGAAAAATAATTGCAATCTTACTTTTTATTATTATTATTATTTACATAATTCAGTGCGTGAAATCAAAAGTTATGTGTTTGGCGAAAACATGGTCATCAAACGGGCTTTTAATGTAAATTATATGATTTTTTTAAATTTCATGATATACCATGCAAATAAAATACATCATTTTTACATTCTTATTTTTGCTTATATATAAGGAATTTGTCTAAAAATGCAAGTAGTCCGTGTAGATAAACAAAAATAGGGGTATAAAGGAGGTATTTTATGGCTCATAAATTATACACCTAACCAAAGAATTTATTTAGGGTTGGTTTGCAACTGCTTTTAAAAAAGCACTTCTCAACTTTTGGTTTTAAAAAAACACTTATTTTCCAAAACATTACACCTTTTATTTTTCTCGGCTTCCGCATCAAAAGTGCTTTTACTTTCTCTATTACACAAAAAACACTTATTTTACCAAAACACTACCCACTTTTACTTTTCAAAATCACTTTTTTCTCAAACACTATCAACTTTTATTTAATCACTTCTCCCCATTTCATTAAAAAAAGCACTTTTTTTAAAGCAGAAGCTGTTGCAAACAGACCCTTACTCTCTATATTTTAGAAGTAAAGTGATGAATTTCCTTAACTTGCATTTCATCATTTCACATGCAAAATGTTAGAGCTCGTTGGGTGATCCTATTTTTTAGCTTATCAAAATTATCAATCACCGGCCTTTTTCATCAACACTACAAGAAAAAGTGTTATTTGCGTCCAACTTTTTTGTGTCGACTAAAGTGGACGCAAATAACTACTCTTTTGCGTCGACAAGTGGACGCAAATGGTATTAAATAAAATCCCGCCCAGGCCTGGTACAATTTCATTATTTGCGTCGCCTTGTCGACGCTAAAAGAGTTTAATTATATTTGTGTCAACGAGTGCCGACGCAAAAAACGAAATGTAAAAAAGTCGGGCGCTCAGCGTCTACAAGCCCAAGCTTGTAAGCCCAACACACAACACACTTAGCCAACTGCGAAATGAACCTACGACGAGGATGAAGGAGCTAGCAGCTGCGAAGACGGCGAAGTGAACCTGCGTCCTGCGAGGAAGACGTCAACTGCGGCGCCTACGTCGTCCGCCAGACCGCCGCTCCACCCAGCTGTGACCTGCCGCCCTGCATCCGCCTCTGCGCTTCCCTCCGGGCTCCAGCCTCCAGCCGCTCCAGGTAAACTCCAATTGGACCAATTCTTCGAATTCTTATTCTGTTTTAGATTTTAGTCGATTATTACTAACTGATTACTTATTTTATGGCATCTTGTTTTGCTTGTTCTTTAACAGTTCTTTCTTTTGAACAATGAGTAATTTTCTAAACCGAGTTGTAATAAGTTGTGTTAATTGTGAGAACCATGTTCTTACATTTGAATAAGTATTTTTTTGTTATTCTAAATCACGAAAGAGTAATTGCCTGAGATATGATTGGTTCAATTTATAATTAATAGCTTATTTTCTGTCTGCTTTATCTTTTTTATTACTTGAATATATATAATTGGTTTACTTGATTGGTGTAGTCTATGAAATCGTGTGTTCGTTTTATCTATTGAAGCAGTTAATTATACAAGCTTATATCATCATTCTCAAGTACTTTACATGGTCATTTTGTGATAGTTATTAAAAAGGCGTTCTTAAGACAGTCATTTATTTGGAATTGCTTGTATTGTTCCTGAATAAGTCATTTTATTTGGAATTGCTTGTATTGTTCCTGAATAAGTCATTAAAACATATGGGTTATTTCAGTAAAATGATTATTTGTTTATTTGCTAGTTGTTTATATTGAACCCCTAAAAATATGATAACAACAGTTTTGTGCATTGAACCCTTAAAAAACTGTTAAATCTAGAAAAAATTAAAGGGATCATACTTCATAAAGAAGGACCATTAGCTATGATATGGCTGGACAAATCCATCTATCGCACTTTAACAGGCTGATTAACACCTACACGTGTTTATATTTCTGATGGGTTGGCTATATTATTCAATTTAGATCCTTTTTGGGCACCTAAATGCCAAAATAGTTCTGGATGAAACATTTCCATGAACAAATTCTTCAATTTCTGTCAACGTTTACTGAGAGTGCATCTGATCATATAGTCGTTCGATAAATTGATTAGAATTTTTCGACAAAAAAAGAAGGGACTGAAAACAAAGGTTGTCACCTGTGAGATAGTTGAAAATTTCCCATTTTATAAGGAGTGAGAAGATGAATTTCATGCTGCTTCTCTTCTTTTTCGTGTTGTAGCTAAAACGGAATCCCGATTTTTTAATAATATTAGCGTCGACAGAGTCGACGCAACAACGAAATGAAAAAAAATATAAAAAACGGGTAGTCTATAGCGTCTACGGTCGACGCTAATACTGAAATACAATTAAAGGAGCTTAGGGCGAAATACACTTCTCTATCGGTTAGGGCAGGACAAAACAACTATGGACGGTCTTCCTCCTTCCTGAGAGCTGGCCGGAAGAGTTCAAGAGTGCTTCTATGTGAAAGGGCAACATTAAGTAAAAGTAAAACTAGCCCTTTATTGCTAAGGCCTTAAGGCCTTAGTTTATATATAGTTTTGTTTCAGTTTTGTTTCGGGGTGTCCCTAAGGCCTTAGTTTATATATAGTTTACCTCTCGTATATATTTAATAAGCACTATCTATATCGCTTAGTCGTATATTTCTGCTTTAGTTTTGCAGGTTTTTCAAAGATTGTACTTAGTAGTACAATCCTTAATGTTGTGGTAGTGATTACTGATCGACCAATGTTAAAATTTCAAACTACTAATTTAATGTTAATGTTACTTATTGATCATTCATGTTATTTTAGATATTGACAATTATAATGAATATTAAACAGGATGATCCAGAAACTGGTGAGCAGTACTCAGCTCTTGAAAATTGGAAAGATCAACGTTTGACTCGTAGTGGTGAATGGAGAACAAAAGAAGCACATGAAAAATATGTAAGTATATTAAAAAATATTTTATTAATTGTAATCATAATGATATGTAACTATATGAATTGTAATTTGATAGACTCAAATGAGCGAAGAGTACCAAACACAACTAGGACAAACAGGGTCATCGTCTTCAATAAATGAGATTGATATTATGCACCGGAACTTGAGAAGATATCGCGGACGCCAAAGTGGAGTGGGTCCTACCCTATCAAAGGGTGCATCTCGACGATTGGAAGATGGGGCTACTTCAACGTTCCAAGACCACCGGGATGTTCAAATAAGTGAATTGAAGGCAAATCAAGAGTTGATGCAAGCAAATCAGGAGTTGATGCTTCGTGCCCTACAACAATTTATTCCTGGCTTTCAACTTCCTTCACGTAGCTCCGCAAATGATGTTCCTTCGACATCAAGTGCTAACCAACCTGATCGGAGTCTCGATGAACATGATCAAGATTGATAACATCGAGTTGAATATGCTTTTTACTTTGTTAAGATGAACATGAATTTATTTATGTTTACATTTTGTGATGTTGTTTGTAATGATTTAATGAAACCGCGTTGTAGGATAACTCACTTTTACTATGGATATGGAATGAATTTATTTGTTGTTGACATTTGTTGTGTTTGGACAGATTTTGGTAACAGTGGTTTATTAATAAAAGTTTTGTATGAATAGCAATAGGTAATGTGGTGTAATTTCAGACTTGTACGGTGCTATTTGCGTCACAATGTCGACGCAAATAATGTATTTTAAAAAAATGACTGATAGGCTTTGGCGTCGACATGTGGACGCAAATAAGGGTATTATTTCCGTCGACGTGTGGACGCAAATAAATGCTCAGTTTTTGCGTCGACATTATGCATGATTACTTCCGGAAGATCTTTTCCGTCCATATGTCGACGCGAATAAGATTTTATTAATTGCGTCACACATTGTCGACGCAAAAACATTATTTGCGTCGAGCCTTTTGCGTCGACCCTTTTGCGTCGACATGTGGACGCAAAAAACTTATTTGCGTCGACTTTTGATGTTTTGCGTCAACTTTTTGTTGACGCAAAAACCGTTTTTTCTTGTAGTGCAAACGCATAATTTTTATTCTGCACGCTGAATTATGTAATAATAAAAAAATGTAAGGTTGAAGTTACTTTTCTGACTGTATTGGCTGAAATTACTATAAAGATCATCTTAGATGTTTTTCATATAATTTTTTTATTATTAATTAAATAAAATTTAAATATACATTTATCATAATCAGCAGAAGGAGCCAATCCAACCACTTCTTTCAGAACTTCATAAATTTAAAACAGTTTGAGTATTACCAAATGGGCTCTTAATGTGCATATTATCAAAGACATCCGACTTTTTCATTGGTATTATAATTCTTTTTTTTTTGTTTAAATATGACTTGTATACAATCTAATGTGGATATAAAATAATCAAACTTTTATGAAGAGTACTCTTGATACCATTATTGACAATAATTGCAATTATTATACAACAGTAGAAAATTAAAGTGTAAGGAAAAAACTCAGAAGGCTCCTAGTCGCATGTAGAGGATTAATTGGGCAGTCCAGCTTCTAGTCTTGCCCTTAGGTTCTTTCTTAGAATTTTTCCTGATGGAGACTTGGGAACAGCATCCACAAAAAATACTTTCTTTATTCTTTTGTAAAATATAACCTGGACATACAAAAAAAACATTAGGGAAGGGTTTGAAATAAAAAATATGCTGCATTTTCCCATTATTTTAGTAAGCATAAAAAACTTATAAACATGGGCAGATTCAAATTGGGCGCCTTTTAATGTAGCTTCACCTCTCTTTGCTACAATTAAATTACAATTAATTAATATTTTCTCAGTCATAGTATCCTAATCTGACCTTTTATTTACGTGCACTCTATTTAGTTTGCCTTAGTATCCTAAAAGAAGTGTTCGGTAACTATTGTGCAATCAAATACTCATTTACTACTCGCCTCCCTAAAAGAAGTGTTCGGTAACTATTGTGCAATCAACTTAAATAGTTTCTAATCTTTTGTTTCATATATCAATTTTTTTTTGTTAAATTTCAACTTTTCTGCGATTTATAAAACTTTTAATATATTTAATGAATGTTTAAATTTTATTTGTTAAAAATAGTTTGAACATTCATAGAAATCAATACTCCTTCTGTTTCAAATTCTTTGACACATTCTTTTTTTGGATGTTTCAAAATGTATGCCACACTTTTTTGTTTCCTTATTTGATAAACAAAAATATATCAATACAACACAAAACAGAATAAAATAGTGTCAAATAATGTCAAAACATATACTCTACCGTAAAATTTAAGTAAACTTTTTCTTTAATCTTTTCAAGTCAAAGTGTCAAAAATAACAGGAGTATAATATAAGCCAAAACGGGGCAGAGTAGGTGTAATTTTAATGTGTTACCTGCCTTTTTCTATGGATGCGGTACTATTTATTTATTTATTTATTTATTTATTTAATAAAGAGTATGGATTTGACAGTCATAAAAATGTACGTCCTCTGTTCCTAAAAGAAGTTTCATTTCGTTTATCGAGGGTCAACTTAAATCACTTTTAAACTCTTACTTTTTATATCAAAATTTTATAAAAGTGGAATTATTTTTTGCAGGCTTTGTAGCGGGTTTAATGTAGTTTTTGACTATGTAAATTTTATTTACTAAAAATAATCCGAGTTTTCACAGGGATCATTTAACTTTATCGTCGGTCAACCTTCGTAATCCGCAATTGGAACAACATTTAGGGACGGTGGGAGTACACTTTTTGTTTTCACAAAAAAATCCTCAAGAGTCAAATTAAAATAGAGATTTAAAACAGACCTGTTTGGAGACAAAGTCTTTAACTTCATCCTCCGTGATGCTGCATCCATTCGACTTAACAACAAAAGCAACTGGAACTTCTCCTGCCTCTTCATCTTTCATGCTGTGTAAATACCATTCACGGAGGCTTATATTAATCCACTATTTTTAATTACTCCAACCATATATTTCATTGAAAAAGCTAATTAAGGGAGATCGACTTACGGGATGACTGCAGCATCAGAGAGTAGGGGATGGTTAAGGAGTAAGGCTTCAAGTTCAGCTGGGGCAACCTGGAAGCCCTTGTATTTGATGAGCTCCTTCAGTCGGTCCACAATGAACAGCTCGTCGTCCTCATCGATGTACCCTATATCTCCCGTATGCAGCCATCCTTCTTCGTCAATCGTGCTTTTAGTAGCCTCTGGTTGATTCAAATAACCTGCGCCCCGCGGTTCATAAATATAAATATAAATACATTTGAGGACTAGTACACAACTTAAAAACACTAAAATACACATTTTCATTTTTAGTAGTTGAATATAAAAAATAATTATGCTAAATTTTGTTTAGTCTTTCTTATTATTACAGAATACTTTTAGTATTGTGAATACACTGACCCCCGATCCATAGATCCGCCAATGTGTGCATATGAATAAACATGCAAAGTACATAGAATGTTTACATTTGATAAGTATGATGGATGTATAATAAAGTCACGGGAAATTAACTTCACGCACTAACACATGAGTGCAATTTTGTTCACCCCTCCTCCGATAGTGAACATAACCCCCTTACCTCACTTGATGTTATGTGGCATCTCATTTCCTTTTTTTTCTTTAAATCTTTTTTTCTTCTTAATATTCTTTTTTAGCTGCATTTTTATTTATTTTTATATCCAATATTGGTACCATATAAAAGATCGAAAAAAATTTAAAAAGTTGATTTTTTAAAAACTTTTGATTAAAAATAAAAAAAGTTAAAACAATTGTCCAATTATAAAGAATGACCTTACCACATGGCAAGCATTTAGGGTGGAGGTAAACATCACACGCTTTATACTCTTTTGAGAGGTGAACAAATTTGACTTCCCAACACATTCCTTGCCAAAAAGTGTTTACAAAAATATGAACACATGTTTTACGCACTCAACAAAGTCAACTAAATTATCAGAGTTTTGGTGAATTGGGTATGCTTGGTGTTGACGTGGTATTAATGGTGCCATGTCAATAAAAGATAAAGGAAAGGGAGACGGATCAAGTTGTAAGGTCAGCATCATTCTGTATATCAAGTTGTTGGTATACCCCCGCTGGCCACGATGATGATAAAATACTCCTCCGTACTACTATTTCCTCCGTCCTCCTTTCCGTACTAATTTATCTTTCCTTTTTAATTTGTAAAAAGAAAATTGCAATTACAAAAATACACTTTTTAATACTCCCTCCGTTCTTTTTTATTAGTCCTTCTATTCTTTTTGGGACGTTTTTTTTTTATTTGTCTCCTTTCCCTTTAATGAAAGTTTTTGAGAAAATACCCTCATTTTTATTACTTTTGCCCCACTTACTTTTTACAAACTACTTTCTCTTTCCTACTTTACCATCACTTTACTCTTCTTAATACACTCTCTTTCCTACTTTATCATCATTTTACTCTTTTTAATATATCATCTTTCCTACTTTATCATTTACCCTAACACTCTATACTTACCCTACTACTTTATTATTAAATCCCGTGCAAAACCCTAAGGGGACTAATATTAAAGAATATTAGTCCCCGTGTCCTAATGTTAGTGATTCGTTGTACGGAGTATAATCTAAGGAGTCAAAGACGTTCTAGCGCCAAAAATAGTGACTAAAAAAGGTTAACTAAAGAATAAAGACACAACTCCCTCCCTAAAATGAATGTGTAACTTGAATAGTTGAATTTGACACACTTATTTAAAATGTACATGAACTAACTTATTCTAGGAGTAAATTAAATATCAAAATCACTTCTGTTTCTGTACTTTCACGCATAAACATGTTTGTTGCAACGCGCAGTAGGAGTTATTTTGGTCATTGTTTCTCATGTTAATAATAAAATTCAAATATTGAAAGTGGGTACAAGGACACTCCGCCAACCACATACCTATTGCGATTTCTAGCGTAAACGTGTTAGTTGATTTTTCTACGGAGCACACCAATTTTGAAATTGTTGTGTGCTAGCTTTCCACGTTTTGTCAATGCTTTTAGCCCTACTTACCAATAATTTATCATTTCATCACCATCATCATTTCGTGCACTTCTATCTCTTATCATTTCGAGCACACCAATTTCGAAATTGTTTATATACATACACTTTTTTGCATTTTCAAACAAATTGTATGCATATAGACATTTTTTATCCGTATAGACAGATAAATTGTGTGAAAGGTGTATATCATTTTTGAATTATACCTACAAATGAAATCTATCTTTTACCCCGAGTTTAATTTTATGGTCTTCCGATATTGTTTGTACATCACAACTGTTTTTCTCCCTTTCTAAACGTAGCATTAAAGATTGCGAGAGACAATGAGTCGTACCTTTCATGATTTGGTCGCCCCTGATACAAATCTCCCCGGGTTGATTCCGGGGCAAAGAGGATCCGATCTCCGGATCCACAATCTTCAACTCGGCGTTCCGAACCACAGTACCCACCGACCCCGATTTGATCTGGAAAGGCTCTTTTGCGAAGGCTAAGCTCATCGCCAGTACGGACCCTCCTTCTGTCATTCCATATCCCTACATATCACCGTACTTATTATTTACTCATGATTCCATCAAAACAGAATAATCACTAATTTAATCTTCAG